TAATAAGAATGCAAGAAGAGAGGAAAAATAGCATCTCAGGATGCCTAATCAAAGATTAGTAACCAAATAGATACCTCAAATTGTCAGAATCCTACCGCCCGGTGTGGAGTTTAAGCCCAGCTGTCAAAATTTGAGAATCTTTAATTCACCTAACCCTTAATAAACACCTATCCAAAGCTGACCACCAACATGATTTTCGGCTAATGCACTCAACCACTACGGTATTATCAGTCCTCGAATTTTTTTTATCAGTGACGTTTCCAGACAACAAAGGCCACCCACTAGAACAGTTTTCGCCACGCCCGACTTATCTTAAGCTTTCGACATGGTCTGTCATCGAACTCTCTTGGATCTACTTCATGACACCAGCGTACCGGCGGGAATCTTAACCAGATGGTTATCAAATTATTTGAGTGGTCGCCAAGCTAAAACATTTTTTAGGGAGACTATCAACAACCAGAACAGTTCGCACAGCTGTCCCACAAGGCGCAGTCCTTTCACCCACTTTGTTTACTTTTTTGTTCATGATACGCCATCATCACCCCCTGAAGCTAAACTACAATCGTACGCAGGCTACTTTCACCCCTTCGTTATTTCGAGTTTCTTTCAAAAAGCTTCCTCTCGTTTATCAAACTAAGTTACAAAGTTACACCAAACTTTTACGTCCAGATCTCTTGTTTTTTCCTCATCAAAAGGCTCCGCTAGCCTTTTTTCCTCGTTCAATAAAAAGTTTAATACTTACACCCTAGTGAAAATGGACAATATACCTCTTCCTTCAGAAAAGCACCCCGAAGTAATCGGTGTCTTTGACCCGTTCCTTAACTTTGCAGAGCACTGCGAGCGAACTTCAGCAAAAGCCTCGCGCACGATAGCGATCCTGAAGGCCTTATCGGGAACGAACTTGGGTCAACGAAAAGAGACACTACTGGTAATCTGCAAGACTTTGGTCAGACCAGTTTTAGATAATGCATGCCCCGCATGGTTCCATGCCGCCAGTTTTACGTCTTCGAGCAAACTTCAAGTAGTTCAAAACGCCGCTCTCCGCACAATAACGACTTGTACAAAAAAGAGTGCTCCAAAATTTCAAATGTTGCTGAATGTCATCAACTATTATTTTCTCAATTAACCCCCTTCAAACCTGTTACTTTTTGTCACCACCACCCTTAAACTCCCCGGAATATCCGCCAGACAATACTTGAGATAAATGGTCCCGAAATAGAAAAAATGATCCAAGGCCCATCAAATGCATCTTTCACACCTTTAAACGATTTTAACGAACTTAGTTCTTTCGCGTCTCAAAATTATCCATCGATTTTAAAACAACAGCACACTAAAAATGTCGAGCAAGCTATTGCAGATGCTCCTCCCCCGAAAGTGCTTGCACTTATACCCCTTGATATCTCATCTTCTGGAGAATCTTTCCCTCGCAGGACCAGGCGAACCCTTGCGCAGGTTCGACTATAGATCCAGCTATAGCCCCTTCCTAAACGCTCGTTTACCTAAACAGAAAAGACACAAATATCCCCTCAAACTGCCGCCGCTGAACTTCCCCCACACCACTTTGCACCTCTTTAACTGTTCCATGAACACCACTACTCTAATCTCAATTAATCTGTGGCTTCGGCCGACTAAAGTCGTAAAATTTCCCGGACTCTGTTTGAGCATGCCGGACACGACCCCTGGGGGCTAAAAACAACAACAATACAAGCCCTAAGCAGACAAACCAAAGCCCGACAATTCTATCTTCACCGATTTTTTCAATTGCGTAGATATTGACACCTCAACTTCTTGAACTCAGGGTGCTTAACGAGACGGTGTTAACCCTAGGGGAAGTGGGATCTGGTGGATGTTCAGAAAAAAACAAGAAGTGAAAAAAGAATTTAATTTGTAAAAGCTGTTCATGGGGAAAAAGATTAGTTCCCGATTTTAAAAAACTTGTTCTCGCAAGAGTTACACAGAGGCGACGTGCAGCTTCTTATCACTTGCGATACAACGAAAACTTAGCATTACAAGCTACCAAATAGTCACTGGGATGGAAATAACAAAGTCGAACATTTTTTTTTGGAAAATAAGAAACATTCAATCTCCGAAAAACCGACGAGAAATACAACCACTGTCAGGAAACAAACTTTTAGTTTTAATCCGAGCGTTCATTAAACCAAAAACACCTAGTTAGACATCAACTGATCTGAAACCAAAAAATCACAAAGGAAACAGTCATTACAAAAATGTTGAAAAAATCAACATTTTTTGGAAATACAATAAATTCAACCTCAAAAAAACACACAAGAAATAGAACCACTAATATTAAGTAAGCTTTCAGTTTACATATTAAGTAAGCTTACACTAGTTAGACGCCAATTGATCCGAAACAAAATATGGCAACGGATATTACTACCATAAAAATCAACAAAATTTTTAGAAATTCGATAATTTCAACTTCAGAAAAGCACATCCACTAGCATTAAACAAGCTTTTAGTAATGTCCGAGCGTTCACTAAGCAGACAACACGTGATTAGACACAAACTATTCCGAAAACAACAAATGCTAAAAGAAATTGTTGTCATCAGAAAAATTTTCAGCGATTAAAATGTTTGAGCTTATAACTTTCATACTACCAACTGAGCTCATTTATTAAAAGAAAGAACAAATATTACTCGTCTTAAATCCAATGCAAAATAAGTGCACTAAACCGACAGAGTCGAAATCATTTGGGCGAAAAAAATTCTAAGGGAAAAAACCCAAATCAAAAATCACATAAAACCACATAGACAAAAATTAGAGAACTACAGGAGTATCGACAAAACTTGAGACTACAATAAAAACTTATTACAGTGCAAAAAAAACCCTGGTGTGGCAACTATGCAGACAAAATTTAAGTCGACAAACTATAGTCCGACTTATCCGTTTATCGCGAAAAAAAAACAATTTCAGACACTGAAAAATACCGACACTGAAGATCTGACCGGGACTCTAACCCCTGACCATAGGTTGCAGATGAATCTGCATTACCTCCAGACCAAGCGCGATGGGTCCTGGAAATTGCTACGGTTCGAATTTAAAGCAATATCAAATTCAATAACAAATGTGTAAGAAAAGTTGTTTACGGGAAAAAGTCTAGATCCCGATTACAAGATACTTTCTCTCACAGGTGTAAAAAGAAAATAAACTTGTCAGTTAAACTGAGACTCCTCGGTTTTTCATGCAGAAATAATAGAAACACGGCTCAAATGACTTCGTACTCTTCTTTATATCAAATTTTAAGCCTTGAAACCATAAAAACATTTCTTAATGCGCTGTTAATTAAGTAAATAAAATGTAATTGGAACGTAGTTTTTAAAATTATATATTTTCTGCTGGTAAGTTACATGTAAACGACAAAAACCGGAATTTGAAATCTCCTTAAAACAATAGCTGTCAGTAAGTTCTGTGACTAAGCTCTGTCAATTGAGTCCTAGATGTCATTAAGCCGCCAGAGAAAATTGTTTGAACAAAAGACAAGTATCAGAAAAGAATATTACACATTTAAAAAGCTTTCATTATCACTTTGCTTCGGCATTAATTTCCATCAGAGAAACGCTTTTAACTTTCTAGCGTGTTTCCTACTCAATGAAACTTTTCTTTGAAAAAAAAGCACTTAGATGGTCGACTTTTAGTCACAGATAGACTGAATTAAGTAAGACGGTGCTGCAGGAAAACTATTTTGCAGTGAAAAAATCAGGAACAGAAGAAAACTGTTAGCTTAATATTTTACTACTTCTGCAAAGTTCTCATCCTTTTGAGGATACGGAAAGGAAGTAATAAATCAAAGGGACGTCAATAGCAGGATTTTACGCCACCAACTATAACCCCTAAGTCGATAATCACGAGTACTACAAATTTGCATAACACCTGTACACTATTATAACCCTGTAATTTCAGGTCATTGAGCATATAAATCGATTCAAAACACATGGTATCAAAACGAAACAAATTAGTACAGAGAGTCGAGCTGCACTTTGCCAACGCATGAAAAAAATGACCAAATAATGAGATTTCAAGGTCATATAAAATTCAAAATAGCCTTGAAAAAATAAGCTTTCACAAAACCGCTTGATTAAGGAAGGAACATTTGCATATACCAAAAAGCTTTCACCTGTCTATATACTTTGAGTACAATGAACCAAATGGATATCGCTCATGTTATCTTAAAATAAACGCGAAAAAAAGGGAGAAATAAAAAAAATCAGGTTTAATAAGTTTACAAATTACAGGATCAAAATCAAAATCACTTGTAACTACAATGAGATGGCTTTACAACTGAGATGGCTTTCGAATTTAAAGCAAAACTATAGCTTTAAAGCTCTTTGAATTTCAAGACCGACTCATAATTAGCACTATTTAGTATTACACCAATTTGAGAAAATAGGATGATGAGAAAATAGGATGATTAAGTAAATTTTTGATTTTGCTAGGAATTCTGATAAATAAGTTCAGGCCTTTTCACTTTCGCTGTTCGATAGTGGACTTTGCCTTCCTTTCAACACATGAAATGAACTGAACTTGAAAAGAAATCAAAAGTCAAGCAGCTAAAAAACAAAACTTGAGCATGAACAAATTTTCACTTTTCCTGAAAAACAAACGCTATTTTGAATGGTCGAAGCAAAAAAATATAAGACTGAACAGTTCAGGACACTATATACCAGCTAAGCAAACCATGAAAAAATGCTCCCTTTGATACAGTTCAAATCTCAAAACTTTGATCTGGATGATTCGAATTTTATACACGAAGACCAAAATCAACATAGGGACAACAAATTAAACGTGTCAATTGAAGCTCCCGTAAAAAATGTACATATAAAGACTGATTCTGATCTTAAGCTCAACATACGAGATAGAACCGGCAAAACTCTCGTATCCTTTACAACAATCGTATCCTGAACAAGAAACGGTTCTTTAGTATTCAGGGATGTCTGCCAATGAAGACATGGTTATTTTGATCAAATATATTGGAAATATGTTGCGGTTAAAGATTTTTTTTTTCAAATAGACAATAAAAACTACAAAGAAAAGAAGAGTTCATGACTTTTCGGGCTGTAGTTCTTTTCGGGCTGTAACTGTCTAGACTTTGCTACGTAGACTTGCAATGGGGCTTATGGGTCGACCAATGAATCGCTTGGCATTTCTTATCACAATATTGAACCTCTTTACATCTACTACACCTCAAATGATTGCGTAATTTTTCAGTACATGTTACACAATGAGAGTCGTGCATAAATGTAGCGGCGTGAGATCCCGTAAGAATTTGCATATACACCGCTATCGGTTCCGCAGTTTCTTTTCCTGGTTCAGCGCTCGCAATTGTTTTCACGGACTGTTGAAGGGCTGTGTTCTGGGCAAAAGGATAACTTTTCAGTCCTGATTTTACAAATCGGTCCCTGTTATCTTCGGTCGCCCCTTTTTTCTCCGCTTTCCAAAGCCACTTTATGACGTAATCACAACTCGCTTTCCATTTTTCATATTCAATTTTTTCCTTTTCTTCTTGCGGTTGTGCCGTCAATTTATAAGCCTCGTCAACTTTTTTCAGTAGACAAGCAATAAAGTGAAGTTTAAGGGACAAAATCTCGTTATTTTCTTTTTTGAACTGCTTATCTCGCTCGCATTCCAAAATGGCAATGCTGACTGCTATCTTTTCCAAGATTTTAATATGCGTTTTCAAAACCATTGCCAGCCTTACTGGATGTATATTGTAACTTGTCGCTAATTTATGCAATTCAAGAGCTAATTCTTTGTCGCACTGAAGCGAGGTTCCAACTGAGGGATCGGTATAATGTAAGAAAATAGTTGGTAAAAAATAGGAGTTTATGAAGCTAGCGATGTGACTTTGACCAGTAAAAGCTGCCATTTCGGCTGCTGTTCTTTTCACCGAATTCTCTTCGTCTTTTTTCGCGCCCGCGTCTAATAATGCCGAGACCGTTTCAATGTTACCCGACAGCGCCGCAAAATGAAGCGCCGTGTATTTGTGTTCATGCTTTGTGTCGTTTACATCACAGCCGCTTTTAATGAGGTAGTTCACCATATTAGAGCGATTTCTAAAAGCTGCATGTTGAAGTATAGAGGTTCCGTGGGAATCTACCTCTTTCAAGTTCACATTTCCGACCCGGATGAGAGAAAAAAACTCTGTCTCGTTATCTGAATTGATAAAGTCAAGAGCCTTTTGAAAACTCTCTGATGTAGTAGCCGACTCAACGGCGTTAGCGTTATCTTCAGTCATTTCAACCTAAAATTGAAGAAAAAACAGACTAATTGTCAAGAGATCTGCAAATACTAATCAAATTCGAACAGCAAAAATTAATATAACCATGAAAATAATAAAAAAAATGTGCCAAACTCAGAAATTGGAACCAGTTTTTATTTAAAACATTTCCTGTTTCCAATCAAAATGCAAAATCTATTGAAACAAAATCTATTGAAAGGAGATATCTTATTGTAGCACATTGTTTATCTTTGGCAATAGATTAAAAAACGAGCATCCGGAGCCAAACGAAGCAAACATCTCAATAGATCAGTGATAAAAACTGAAGCTTCCGAGCAAACAAAAAACAGAACGTTCCGAAGTGAGATATTGCCAAACAAAAATTCATAACTCTTTTTTTTCAATTACTTATTTGAAAAATTGGAGAGGAAAAGAGATGACAGAAATCAACGTATGGTTTGCTGAATTTTACCATGCCCAGAAATTAATTGCAAAAAAATTCACTCTGACTTTCTTTGCTCAGACTCCAAGCAGAGTTAGACAAAAAGCAAAAATCTCACTATTTTGTTGGTAGAGACCTGAAGCACTTTATTTGCAAAAAATCTACTTTTTGAATCGTAATCACGACTGCAAGGTCTTTCACATGCAGTGGCATACTTTGCAAAAGGGAAATATGGCAAATCCTTGCAAATAGCAAAGATCTAAAGGCAATCAAAAAGTTACAAACAAGCTGGCACATGCTTCGCAGACAATATAATAAAGAAATACAAAACAATTAGGCCGCAAAACGCCATTTAGTCATTAAAAAAAAATTTCACGGAGTAGGATTTTTTTCGCATACAAACGTGCCTTTGATCAGTGATATGAACTTCCTTGAAACCCTGCAATGGGAGTTAGCACTGTCGACGAATAATTTACCGAAAACTATCCACACAGAGAGGCAGACAAACATGGCATTGCAAGCTAGCAGACAAAAAATAAAAGGAAAACCAACAAGCCGAAAAAATAATTTTCACTTAGAACTACGTTAAATTAGGCAACTAAGCCATTAAAACAAAGCACAAAACTTATAGCCGAATACAACTTTTCAGCGAACTAAAATCAAAAAATGAAACTATACAGTCAGGGCTAGTAGTTTTACAAATTACGTGCAACTAGGCCGACGAAACAATCAGACAAACAATGGACTCACAATTTTTTCAACAGAACTTTCCAGTTTGAAAAATTGCAGGTTTTGACATTTGCGTCCCAGGCGCAGAAAAACATTCGAATTTGTAACACAGAGGCAAAGGTGAGCTTCACACCACTTGCGACACAAAAAAGAAAGACGTTAAGTCGGAGAAAACCGAAGTGGTTCACAAAACTAAATCTATATCTATCAAAATGAATAAGGCTAGTTTTGATACAAAAACTTGCCAAGAAAATAGAATGTGAAATTAGCTTGAACAAAATTTTACCAAGCGGTAACAGAGCCGAAAACACCTTAGAAGAAACCCTTTAACCCGAAAAAAGCCAACAAGACTTAAGACTTCTAAAATTAATTAAATCCCCTTCACCCTCAAAACATTATTTGCCCCTCAAAGAAACAAGTTGAGGCCCATATGCCGAAAAATCGAAAAAACTTAAGACTAACAAAAAGTTACTAAGAAGTTCTCAGCCTCAAAACACACACGCACATAAAAAAAATTTCGCTCGCCGAAAAAACTTGTTGTCATGAAAAACTAATACTTCTATGAAGATTTTAAGCATGTTGTGCTATCCAGAAGATAGAATGAAAGTTTTTTTCAATTGAAACGATTCAATAGTCGGTCACAAAGCCGATAAACATCAGCTGAAATCATTTGGGCAGAAAAATGTGTTTAAGCGAAAAAAAAAATTATTCAAAGTTAGTTTTTAATTTAACAATTACAGAAAAGAATCAAAAACACTGCCGATTACAAAAAAAATACATGCTGCACAAAAAAGGCAAGAAATGTGGAAACTAAGTCGACAAAACATTAGCAGAAAACCGATAGGCCGATGATTTTTTATACCAAATATTTTGGGTTTCAAAAAATGCTTATAATATACCATCACTGGCTATGGCGGTTTATTTTTAATTATGTATTCTAGATGTATTGCTATCGATGGTGCGGATGTCTTGGATTGTCTGTCACAGTATCTTCGACTCAGAGATGCGCTTTGTGATTTCTACTCCTTCTTGAGAGTCAGGACTATGCTTTTAATGAAAGTGAGTATTAATCAGTCAATTCAGAGTTTCATGTTTCAAAATTCAAAGAAAATAATATGCCTTTGACACCTTTCGAACAATTTGATTGACACAAAATTGATAAAATTAAACCAATTTGAGAAAATTGGAGCAATAGGTACTTTTTTTTTCCACTGAGAAACCTCAAAATTAAAAATTACAATCGAAACTGGAAATCGTTCACATGTTTCGTGACATTTTCACTTTTCTGTCCGATAGTCAATTTTTCCCTCAGAAAAAAAAACATCTAAAGAAGATATTACTACATTCTTTGACATTTAAACAAGCAACCAAGGCTGTTCCATAAATGACAGTACATCGATAGTCTTGCGGAAATCTATTCAGATCTATTCGCCTCAAGCTGATTTTTTCTATTGTTTCCTCAAACATGCTGAACGATTCTGCAACTAGCGGCTGAACCAAGAAAACTTCTGAAAAAAAGCAGATGAGGAAAGAAAAAAATTCGACACTTACCAATCAAACTATTTTTTTCGGACTAAACCTCAAAGTTTTCTAGACCCAACTCACCAAAACGATAAACACGCACCATGAAGATGACAACATTCTTTCAAGCAACAGCCAATAAAAAGTCAAAAAATGACCGTTATTAACTCTACGCACAGCATGTCTTAAATTACTTTTTTGAATAGAAGTAAGTTGAGCTCAGTTCGCAGAAAGATTTTTGGACAAACGAATCCGATGATAAACAAAAACGTTTTCTTTTTTCAGTTAATAATTTTACATAGAGGCAAAGCTGAGCTTCGCAGCACTTGCAATACGAAATTGAATGACTATGATTTAAATGAAACGAAAAAAAACCAACTAAAAACAAATTTCAAAAAATCATTTTCATCATTAAAAATTGCAAAAAACGCCCAAAAGATCCAAAACAAAATTACCTGTACCAGGAGCTTTCGGAATGATAGAAACAAAAAACAATTATTCAAAAAAGTCTTTTCAGCGGAATGAGGTGGACAAAAATAAGCAGACAGACAATAATCGATATAACGAAAAGTTTGGTTTGCAAAAAAACAGGTCTCGACTGAAATCAAACTACCGCGCTGTGCGGTCTCAAGCATGGGTTTTACAGCAACTTGGAAGAAATCTAAACCTCAAAAAACGTCGGGCTTCGAATTTCGTTACAAGTCCAAACTGTGCACTGGATAGGCGCAGTTTGGTGGGTCACAGAAATCCAGAGACATGTCATTAAACTTGTTAAAATTTTGTCGGCATGATCAAAGGAAATACAAGAACAAAGAAAAATCAAAGAGAGCGCTCTTATTACGGTATCTACTCGCGTTTCATCACAAAAAAAAACAGTTTGGCTAATATATTTATTCTCAAGAAGGCTCGAAAAGAAACTTCAAAAACTAAATATTCAGGGCTTAAAAAGAAGCTTATGGTCCCACTAATAAGCCTGCTCGCTCGCTTAATTCGCAAGAAATTAGACAAAAAAATCAAACATTTCAAACCAATTTTTATCGATACTGGGAAAAATTTTAAGATTTCATTCAAATCACGACTCAAAATGATTTAATTTGGAATATCACAACGTATTCCGATGATTACTAGTGGTATCTTCCTACTTTGGAAGCAGAAGACAAAGTTCCTTCCCACTTTCGGACGGGTTTTTCTCGGCACTGAGATAAAAAAAAACTTTAATGTCGACGATCACGATTATGTCGTTCGAATCACAACTGAAATGGCTCTGATATCATATATCACACGACACTTCCGATAAATATTTGTGGTACCTAACTGTGAGGGAAAAACAAAACGAGAAAATTAAAACACACCTGAATACAAACTTCCTCCACATTTTCAAATGATCGGAACAAAAAACTAAAACACACCCGAAAACAAAGTTCTTACCCATTTTTCAATGGTCGAAACAAGAAAGAAAAAAAATAAAACACGCCTAAATACAAAGTTCCTCCCCATTTTCAATGGTCGGAACAATAGAGAATAATAAAAATCGGTTTATCTCAATACTTTCAAAGTTTTTTTTAATGTCGTTCAAATCACAACTGGATTATTTTTATAGTACTTGATTGAGCGTGGAAAAAAAACTTAGAGACCCTACGACAGCTTTCCTCTCAAATTTGAGTGGTCGCAATAAAAATTTCTCTGAGATGACTTATTCTTGATTCAACTCTCTCGTACCTTTCTTATGCATATTTATACCCAAAAAAATCTGTTGTAAAAGACTTCTCCAGTAATAGTCTACGAAACCTTCAATTAATTTTGCAAAAAGCTCCGAAATTGTTAAATTTAGACTTAACCATAAGTGAAATATGTCATTTGGCAAAAAAAATGGTTAGAGTAAAATGAAAAGAAAAAATTAAATAAAATCTCAACAAATAAAGTTTGACAAAAGTACTGACAAAAATTAAATCGGAACAGTTTTTAATTACGGTCAGTTTTGATAACTGATTGGACAAAATCTTCATTTTCAGCGCATAAGAAGTCCAGTTCTTTCTTCAGACTCGTAATTTTTTCTCGTATTTTTTCAGGCTGATTTTGCGGTTTCATAAGTTCCCTTAACTGCGTCTTGCTGAATGAGCACAATTTATTGCCTTGCCTTTTCCGCAAACCCACCATTTTGCTCTTCGGTCCGCATTTCTGCACTTTCATCATGGCATTCTTTTTTGCTTTTCTTGATTGCTCGAACGATTTTTCAACCGACGGCGATTTATATTCTGCTATTTCGTCGCTCAAATTTTCATACAAATGGTTTCCCAATGTATACCTCATACGCTTATAGACAATAAAATAAAACTCTATTATTTCGTAGTACGTTTTATGTTTCAGTAAATTGTGGAT